GCTAAGTATCAAGACAATTAATTACTCTACACACACACACACACCACACTAGGTACCTGACTGCACCATGCCAATGATCTTAGTTGTCGAGACATTAACTCAATAATACAAATAAAATGTATGCCTTATCGTATAGCTGCCCGACAAAAATTATACTCAAACGAATATTTGAAACGAATACATTTGGAGAATTGAGATTAGAAAAATGTATGGAAAATGCAAATTTTTATTCAAAGGTAATATTTAGCAATAAAGCTCGCATATCCAGTGCAGGTATATTTATTTAACTGACACAATGAACTATATTGGAATGACTCAAATCCTCTCTCAGGTGGCAATAGATAATAAATTAAAAATATGCATTACGAGAGAAAACAGATATTATTTGGGGCTTAATGCAAATCGAATGAGCCCAAAACACGTCCATATAATCTATTCAAGAATAAAAATACTTTTTGACTAGAATCACAAGCACAATGATATCAAGTATATTCAACAATATGTAAAATGTACCAACAGCTCTGTTCCATTGACAGTAAAACCTATGACTAAAACCTTCATTGATTGATCGAAAAAGAAATAATACCGCATGGAATTGCAGCTGATTTCAAAACCGTTCTGTCATAAAATAAGTCAATCGTGATAAATTACTTGCACGATATAAATTATTATAATGGTAATAATTTATTAAACAAAAAACTAGGTTTATATAATTTGATGTAATATAAGTGTTTAAATAAAAAAGGTAATGTTTTAACAAGACATCTTGTTATATTTTTGGTTTTAATTATTAAATTGTTTAGGAATCAACTATTTTCAAGATATTTCGACTATCACCTCTCAAAATTGTTTGCTAAATTTAATTTTTTTAACATATTATTTTGTTTTTTGTTGTTTGGAAATAAAATTCTACTAATAATTTAATTTTATCTGCATTACTCATAATGACTATAGTATATGTGCAAATTTTAATGTAGAAAACTTTAAAATGGCGTGATCTATATTTTTGAGACACATTTTTGGAATAATTACTATTAAACTGGGAATAAGCCACAATTAAAGATAAAAATACGTTTATTGACGTTTCAATTTCCACTTCGGAAATCGTTCTCCGAAATTTCCGAAGTGGAAATTGAAACGTTAATAAACGTATTTTTATCTTTAATTGTGGCTTATTCCCAGTTTAATAGTAATTAATTCACAATGCCACAAGAAAATAGCTTCAGAACAACATTTTTGGAACAATTGTAATGGAATTAGTTCATTTGATTACATTTAATTCAATTTAACAAACTTATGAACAGAAATAATAATTGTGCTTGAATAATATTTGTAAAAATAGTTTGTAATATCTGTACTAAAAGAAATAACCCGGTCATACATTTAGTTTACTCTTTAACTCGACATAAAACTATTATTTTTATACTGCTAAATTATTTTTCTTCTTAATTGTTAATTTCTTACTTACAAGTCTCATGACACCATTCTTCCACTTTTCTCATTCCTTTGTCATTCTAGTGACATTGCTAAACTATATCAGTATATTATTTTATATTAATAAAATATATTCCTAGTATGTTCGTTTTTAAGATCTTCTATATTCTATTAAAAAATTTGCTAAATAATTTGCTTGGTATTATTAAAAAAATTCGAAATGTGGTGCTATAGAAAAATTTTAATAATTTCTTTAGTGGAGAAGATTCGAAACTCCACAATACTAGAACGTCTTAGCAAGACTACTGAGAGTATGTGAGTGACCCAAAAGTGGGTTCATCTCGACGTTTCGCTACAATTGTATGTAGCTTCTTCAGGAGAACAAAGAAAAAGAAAAAGATGACAGGAAGATGGGTAGTTAGCAATGGTAACTCAGTTACTCAACGCAACCAGAGGCGAATACTAACTACCAAGATGGGCATTTGGTCACAGTAACTCAACTACTCAACGCAGCCAGAGGTGAAAACCAAATGCCAGGACAGGGATTCACGTCCAACAGTTCAGAACACTAACGCGTCGAGAGGCGGGGAGTGAATCCTTTTTCACCTCTGGCTGCGTTGAGTAGTTGAGTTACTGTGACCAAATGCCCATCTTGGTAGTTAGTATTCGCCTCTGGTTGCGTTGAGTAACTGAGTTACCGTTGCTAACTACCCATCTTCCTGTCTTCTTTTTCTTTTTCTTTGTTCTCCTGAAGAAGCTACATACAATTGTAGCGAAACGTCGAGATGAACCCACTTTTGGGTCACTCACAAACGACACTGTCCAAACCCGGAAGACGAATAAACTATAATTCTGACTCTGGCCGTGGAAGCCTACGATTTCATTTAAAGCTGGAGTACTTCGGACATGTAATGAGAGATCATAAATATAGGTTGCTACAAACTATTATCCAAGAGAAAATACCAGGCAAACGCAGTCCAGGACAAAAAAGACATGCTTGAAGCATTTTCGAGATTGGTATGATATTGACACAAGTATGTGTCAATGCCATACCAATCAGGTAGACAGGTATGGTATTTAGGGTGACAGTAAATAAAATTAAGATAGCTACGATAGTAACTACATCATAAGAAGAATAATCAAATATTATTACAAACGTTCACTTGAAAACCATCTACTTGCTGACCCAAAGAAATTCTGGACTTTCTTTAAGTCAAAATATAAGAATAGTGGAATTCCCATAGAAATGACATTACAGATTTAGATGTTGTAAATAGTAATAAAAAACTTAAACCCAAAAATCTACAGGCGCTGATGAAATACCATCCTATATCTATGAGGGAATGGCCTAACCCTTGGCTAAACCTCTGCGTTTTTGTTTATTATGTCGATTGAACAAGAATATTTTCCAGATAAGTGGCAACAATTTCTCCAATACATAAAAAAGATAAAAAGATTTTTGAAAGTATTTTTTATGATGATATATATGAGCATCTTAAGAGTAAAATCAGCAAAATCCAGCATGGTTTTGTAAGAGACAAATCAATCTCTGTGTTCTCTTTGAACATATTGCTAAACATATTGAGGCAGAGGAACAGTCGGACGTTCTGTATACTGAATGCGAAAAAGCATTTGATAAGGTAAATCACTGTATTCTTTTAAATAAACTGGTACAGTTTGGTTTCCCAAGAAAAGATTTAATTTATTAAAATCTTATTTGTCAGATAGAAAGAATACAGGAAAAGTAGGTAATTACTTTTCTCACCAATATGTGTCATCCTCAGGAGTCCCACAGGGAAGCAAACCAGGGCCATTGCTCTTTATTTTGTTTATTAACGACTTGCCAAACTGTATTAAATCTTGTAACAGCTTAATGTATGCCGATGATTTTAAACTTTTAAAAACCATCTCCAATAAGAAAGATGCAGTCAAATTACAAATTGATCTAAGATCAGTTATTCAATGGTTGGAGTTAAATTCCAAATCAACATGAAATTCAATATACACGATTATGAAATAACTAACAGAGCTTATCGTGCTTTGGGTTTTGTTATTGGAAATAGCAAAAATTTTAGAATAAGCACAATTATAAAACTCTTTAATGCCCTGGTGAGACCACATATAGAATATGCTTCAATCATGTGGTCTACTACTGCATCTTCAAGCTTAGAAAAGATTGAAAAAGTGCTAAACCGATTTTTAAGGTTTCTATACGTAAGGAAAAATAAGAAATATCCATATGTGGTTTCACACAGAGTAATGTTAGACTCATTTCAGTTGCAGTCACTTGCCACTAGAAGAAACAATCAGGCCATTATGTTCACATACTTGATTGTTAACATTATTAAGTACACACACTGTGGTTTAATTGAGTTTATTTACTTTATAGTAACCAAGAGCATGTTAAGGATAGCTTATCTATATCTATTTTTTACAAATTACTATAGAAACATATCACCAATAAACAAGATTTTAAAAATTTGTAATGAAGTATTTAATAGACTGGCTCATGTGGATATATTTAATGTAAAAAGCTGTGAACTTATGGCATTGCTTGCTCATCAGCAGTAGGTTTATAAGGGCTTTATTGTATTTTTTTCTTATTGTATTATTAATGTTCGTTTCTTTCATTTATTGTATTTTTTTTGTCTTAAACACTTTACATGTAATTACTATTAGTCTATAGTGTTTGTAAGGTGTCTAAATAAATAAATAAATAATTTTTTTTTTGACACTCAAAATATCTTTAGATATTATTTCAAATAATTCAAATCTAAAATAAAATCGTCCCAAAAACGAACCTTAAAAATACGTACTTATATCTATTAAAAAATTTCTGTCATTAAAAGTGAGCCAGGTAAATTAAAATTATTACCAAAATTTTATTTCTAAGCAAAAAAAACAATAATTTGTTTAACTAAAAAAAATGTTTTTTGACAACGATTTCCGAACTGGATAAATATAATCAAAAATAAAATATTTTTACTTATATTTGTGGTTAATTTACAGAAAATATACGAATTACATAAACCACAACTACTAAGTGTGTAAGGTCATATATTACGTACTCGACTACATATATTCTTGTTTTTTAATAATGTAAAATCTATATGCATCAAATTGTAATTTTCATTGACGAAAATTGTGTACATAAAACAATAAAAGAACCACAGGAAGTTTTATGTCTGCAGAAACTAACGTAGAAGCCAAATTTTCTATTTGTTATTAATTAAAAAAATTCCTTGTCAAAGCCACGCCTTTTTGAATTTTAGTCGCAAAGTACTTAATTATTTTTAAACGAACTGTCCAATTATAATTGTAAATACAACAGTGAACTAGGTCACTTCTCTGTATACTTTGCAAACAATCCATCGTTTACTTTTTCTCTCTAATAACTTATTTCACATCACTCGATCAACCGGCCCTCCGGCAATCACACTTTAAAAAAATATTAATTCTCAGTAGGTATGTGTGTCAGCCCACAGCATTATATAATATTTGCTTTGTATGTCGCAGGGGTACTAATCCAGTATTCGATCAACTGATAAAAAAATCAACTAACTCACCGTGTCTGTAATCCACCAAAATGAACTAGAAAGTAAACACACCCACTCTTATAACAAACACACTGTATATACTGTATGTGTGATCTTACCTTGCCTATACGGTTACTTAACTTGAAATCTTAAGTGGAAGAGTGAGAGTCTTCATTTATATGTTAAGATGTACGTTTCAGAGGGGATTTCTCTTAATTCGCTGGCGTGTGGTACTAGTGGAACTGTGCGGGTACGAGATGTCCCTCATCTTCGAGGTGTTTTGATTGTTTTGAGGATTTTACCATTAGCGGTTCGTCAAGTTTATCCTCCCAAAACGATTCGAAGAGTCGAGTTTATTATTCTTTCAGTATAATTGTCTAACAGTCAATTGCACAAAGAATATAAACATTAAATATTACACATTAAAAATACGGTATTGTATAAAAGAGGGCAAATAAACATATAGTAACAACTCTAGTAACAACTATAATATCTATAGTAAATCTAAATGGTGTTGGTTTGGATCTGGAGTTTTCAATAATTTCTTTCTACTTGGAAGGAGTTTCAAATACAGATTTTTGATTCATTAAGCCCATGTTCTATTATAACCATTCTAAGATTTAGAAATTCCATTGTAAGCGTAAGACTTTTCCTGGAGCAGATGTCCCCTCAGACCATAACCTCCTTGTTTCAAAAATGAAACTAAGGGGAAAAAAGATAATAAAATCCAAAAATTCTAAGGTATATACTCAAGATAAATGAAATCCGTGCTGAGGCTTTAATTCGCATCAATCAAAAAATGAAAAAATTAACATTAGAAACGAAAAACACTGAGAATGTGAACATTATGTGGAGCAAAATCAAAGATTCTGTTATAAAAACACAGAAAAACAAAAGAAAACCGAAAACCGAAAACCTTGGATGACTCGAGAAATACTGGAAATCATAAAACAAAAAAGGAAATATATAAACAAAATCCCAAGTAAGTACAGAGAAAAATACAAATTATTAAGGAACAAAAAAATAACAAAGGCTAAGGAAAAGTGGATGATGAAAACATGCATCGAAATGGAAGAATTGCAGAAAAAGCATAATCATTATAATTTACATAAAAAAGTAAAAGAATTATCTGGAAAATTACAAACAAATACACCTAACTGATTTATTGACAATAAAAAACAATAAAATTATTAATAACCCAATTGAAATAAAACAAGTAAAACACCCAATTGAAATAAAAACAACTAAATATATTGAAGATCTTTTCATGGACACTAGAACGGAACCAAATCAAGGCAGAGACCTCTGTCTCTATTGACAATCTGAACTAGGTGGACTGTAATCCTTTTAGCAGCATATGTAGCACCTTCATTCTTTTAGCTTAGAAATGCCAATAATGAAAAGAACAAAAACTACTTATCTGAGTCATATATTTTGATATTTCAAGTACCTATTCTTAAAGCTTATTATGGAAGGGAAGATAGAAGGAAAACGGGGCATCGGAAGATAGAAAACATAAAGGATTGGACAAACCTCGATGTACATGCACTCTTTAGGGCCACACAAGATCGAGAGGAGTATGCCAGAATTGTCGCCAACATCCACTAATTGGATAGGGCACCATAAGAAGAAGGCGTATTTTTCAAAGCTAAATGGCTTGTACACCTTTATCTTTTTTGCTTAATTAGATATCATAGAATATTTTACATAAGAAGTAAGAGAAATTAGTATTATCTCCATAATAACAGATAATCGACCCTAATCCTTTTAGCTTTAAGCTCTTCATATTTAATTTCTTAATGTTACTCAATAAAATATTAACCACTAGACTAATGACAAAAGTTGACATAATATATCAATGAAGAGAAGGTTTCAGAAAGAATTTTTTTTCCTGGAACCGCCTGTTGTAATAAATAAGTTGCAAATTGGCTATCGACCATTTACTATAATTTCTAAAATTCCATTTCAGAATTTTGAATTCTCGTTTGAGCTTTTATATGTATAGCAGCGTTGGGCTCGTTATGTGATATAACGGGATTTACGATGGGTTACGGCTGAACGCTTCGTTTGACAGATTTGACAGATTGCATGTCGTTCTTTATTGTCGCATTGTAGAATGAAATCGAAAAAAAATTGAAAAAGAATTGTTAAAAAATTTTTTAACGAAAGATTTAAATTTTAAAGCATAAAATTGGAAAACGTGATAAGTGGGTGAATTTAAACTAATAGAAGTCCTTCAAGACATTACATGGTGTATTAACTGCAATTATTAACTGTATATATCAAATAATGATGATTGTATTGGCGACGTGCAAGTACATAGATAAATAATATAATAGTAGAAATAGATAGGCAACTCAATGTATAAATTTCGTTCATTAGGCCCCTTGCGGCTGGGGTCAATACTAATCATCTTTTGGCGGCAAATTCGAATGAACACCCCTTACATACATACCCTTTAGCGCCTCTTGTGGGCTATTTCGTTACTAATTAAAATTTATTGGAAAATAAGGATATAAGATGCACAATTTTTCTAGATATACGTATATTTATTTGTTGTTTAAGATAAAACAGTTATAAAATAATTACATAATATTTATTACACATATTTGCAGAAGTTAAATACTATTATTTTTTGCTTTCTGACAACTTACTATCATTCTTTTTGTAAGTTTTCCATGATTTGTACACAACGAACAATACAATAATTCACCATGTTTAGTTTTGTTACTAGCACAACACAAAAATTCTTTGCTACAATAGGTAACTCAAAATAAACTTTAAAAATTAAGTAACCAAATTTAAATTAAAATTACTAAGAATAAATGCAAACGAAAGTTAAAGATGATAAAATAAAATTGAAAACTTGTAAACAAACGGAAGATCTGTCATTAATTTGGATTGACAGCTCTTATCTATGATTGACAGAATGACATTGCTTCGTTTGATTATTTTATTTGGTTTATGATTGATTAAGTCTTCGTGAGAGAGATAGGCTGTCATTTCTCTTTATTCACTCGCTGGGGTCAAAGTAATGGGGGAATGAACCAAGTCATTCATATAAGATTCCAGGCCATGTGCAAGTACTTGGAGGGGATACGAGAAAACGATCGTGCGTGAGTAGTGGAGAAATCTTGCATCTTTTACTGCACATTTCATAGATTATCGATTTCATAAATTCATATTGTCAATTGTCATATTTCATATTCGTTTTGTTTATTTACACCTTCTGTCACTGAAGAAAATGGGATTTAGGAAATGCTGTGTTATAAATTGTAAAAATACAACAAAAAATTGTCAATTTAGGTTTTATTCGTTTCCAACTTCGAAGCACAAAGCTATTATATAGAGAAAAGTGGATTTATATCATAAAAAAGCATAAGTAATATAACCTAAATTATGCATTATTCTTGCGTCCGATTTTAAAGTCAGTTTGAAATAAATAATAAATAAAAGTTCACTTTTAAGTGTAAATTTTAGTTTCATAACACTCACTTAGAGTTTATTTTAACTCAAAAATCAAGTTTAATGTTTGAATTTTATTTTTCTGAAGTTTACAAAAATGCAAGTTCAAGTTTTTCTGAAGATGCATTAAGATATATTCGCTGTCCAAAAGTTTACAGAGAAAGAATTAATTGTTCAAACCAATATGATGATATCATGGGCTTAACCTGCTAATTTATGCATTAGCATTATTTATTTTTCTTAATTCTTCCACTCCACATAATTCTTTCATTCTTTTTTGACATTTGCCACTACTAAAGCTTTTCCCTTTGACTCGTGCTTGGTTGAAAAGTTATTTGATGATTTACTTTCTCAAATCCAGTTTTTATTATTGCATCCATATTAACAGTAATGCTGTAATTCAATAATATATTTATTTGTATTTACGCTACATAAACGTTTACCTTTTAATAACATACCGACATAACCTCAATCTTACTTTTTCTTCTTATTCTTTTTTGGGGCCACGTCCTTGACAGTTATCCGGTAACCTCGATCTAACATGAAAGCGCAGTAAATTTGGCTGATTTACGACACCAGGTGTCGCTGTTCCGAACTTGCACGGTCCCAATAGTTACTGTAAATGTAAATACTGAATTGGATCACGATACATTCCCTTTAAGGTTAAATTTGATTAATCTAAATATGACATCAGTTCGAAATACTTTCAGAGTAACACATGAAGGTGCTATAAATGCATTCAACAATCTCTTGAGTAAATAAACATGACAAGATGTTTATCATGCAACTTATGTTGAAAGTAAATATAATGCCTTACATGATAAATTAGTTCTATTTCAATATTAGTTTATTTCAAAATTAAACATTACCAAAACCAAAAAACATATGTCACACAAGAGGTGAAATATTCTTCAGATAGTCTAAAGTCTAAAATCTCATTACTTAGAGTAATGCCAAACCTGAGCTAAAAACTCTATATAGACAAAAAAAATCAGCACAAAGTTCTTGCTGAGACCACAAAAGTTCAGTTTTATTTTAACAAAATCTCTGAATCCTCTAACAAAAACAAAACCACATGATCTGTTATAAATGAAAATATCTGTCTACAAATAGATAATACTAGGATTACAGATTCAGATATAATACCAATCAAATGTAATGATTACTTTATAGATGCACCAAACATACAATTAGTAAAATAATTAAACCAAATTTTAATTTTCAGCATTCCAACGATGTTCTTCAAAATAGTTTGTTTCTACATTATATAACAGAGAAAGATATATAAGTGAGAGCGCCAACCAAAGTGGCGTGACACGTGGCAAGTAGCAAGTATTACGCGTCTAGCATATTACTTAAAATGTAACCAATGAAAACGAATGATTCATCGTACACCAAAATGACAGTGACGTCAGTCGCTCTAATCATTCGTTTGCATTTGTTACATTTTATGTAACATGCTAGACGTGTGCTACTTGCTACTTGCCACGTGCCACGCCACTTTGGTGGGCGCTCTCCCTTAGACATAATAAAATATAAAATTAAAAACAAAGCATCGTGTGGTTTTGATGAAATATCAAGTATAGTAATTAGGAAAATTGCGTTTCAGATTTTGACACTATTTACTCACATTATAAATTCTTTTTTTACTACTGCTGTTTTCCCAGCATGCTG